AAAAATAACAAAAAAAAAAGAAAGAATGTTTAAAAAAACTGTACTGATGCACCTGGTCTGAGTGGAACTAAAGGAAAAAAATCCAGACACAGCAGCAACGAAAAAGAAAAAAAAAAACGTCCAAACACTGCTGAACCGAAGCATAGAAATACAACTGCGCTATCAGACCGCGTCTCCCATCTATTCATCACGTGTCTTCTTGAACTTCAGGGATCTACGCCACTTCTCCGGTATAGCGGTGCAATAGAGCTGCTGCTGTAGCAATTTAGTGCTGCAGCATTTGAATTGCGGCAGTTTATTTGCTGAATGAGTATAACAACGATTTCAAAATCAAAAAGCTATTCAGCTTTAAGATCGTTTGTAAGTCAAACGGATTGTAATGTTATCATTTGCATTCACCATTAATCGCCATCTATGTGGTTTAGGTTGTTTGTTTGTTTTCTTTACATTTTGTTCGGTATTTTCTGTCGAAAATATTGAGAACAAATTGAGCGAATGGTTGTTATTCATTTGTTTGACAATGGGAAAAAAAATATATGAAATTTTGTTTTACCATTAATGTACAGCTAATGATCGCCAAGTTTAAAGAGGTTGTTGTCGTTTAACTTTTATTAAGTTGATGCGCATAGATAACTGGTCTGTTTAGTCTACATTCTGTTGTCAGTTTTAGAATGAGTTCAGAACGCATGGACTCCACCTCTAGTGGGACTTCAATTGCGTTCCGGAACTGGCAATTTAGTAACAACATCAGGAATGTTGATATGATAGAAAGTGGGGCCGAAGAAATGTATCAGTATGATGCAAATCTTCAGCAATCAATTCGTTCAGCAAAACCATGGGAGAAGGACCCACATTATTTTAAGGTTCATAAATTTACTTTGATTAAGTATGAACTGTTTTTTTTTTTTCAAAATTTAGCCATATTTTCTACCATTTTATTACAGGAAGTAAAAGTTTCGGCACTTGCTCTGTTAAAAATGGTAATGCATGCTCGAAGTGGAAAGAATCTGGAAATAATGGGTTTATTACAAGGTAAAATTGATGCAAATACTATTATTGTAATGGATACATTTGCTTTGCCTGTCGAGGGCACGGAAACACGGGTAAATGCGCAAGCCCAAGCATACGAATATATGACTACTTATACGGAGAGTTGCGAGCCTGTCGGAAGATTTGATAAGGTAAGTATTTAGCGCAACAACAGCTTTGAAATATTTCTACGCGCAATTGCTATGAAACTTTGATATATTTTTTTACTTTTTCGGAACTTCTTATTAGAGTTTCTTGAACGACAAGGTCGTTAGATCTTCTCAGTTTGTTGACAAGCATCTGTGAAACGAGATTTTTACGTTTTTGACCTTTTGAGCTACCATTAGAAGGAACTTGCTATGTTGTGGCACATTTAGGTTTCTAAATCTGGGTTCAGGCTGTAGTTTGTTTGTTAAGTATCCTTGTTAATCTTCACGTTGTGAAGTTTTTAGTTTTATTTGTAAATTGCACAAGTCTATTTTGAAAACAGGTTGTTGGTTGGTACCACAGTCATCCCGGGTACGGCTGTTGGCTGAGTGGCATCGACGTTTCGACGCAAACACTAAACCAACAATATCAAGAACCGTTTGTTGCAGTAGTGGTGTGTGATTAATTCTTATCATCAGTCTTTGTGACGAGTTTTTAATATATTCGTTTCTTTCACCACCGTTTCTTATGTCGCCGTTTCTTCTAACCTTTTGGTTGTGTTTCAAACATTACTTTTTTAGATAGATCCTATTCGAACGATCTCAGCTGGTAAGGTCGATCTTGGAGCGTTTCGTACGTATCCTAAAGGCTATAAACCGCCAGAGGAACAGCCTTCTGAATATCAGTCTATCCCTTCTGACAAGATAGAAGATTTTGGTGTTCACTGTAAGCAGGTAACTCATATCTTTCTAAGTCTTACAGTTTTTGATTGATCTTTTGAACTTTCATTTTTATTTCAAGGTTTAAACTTCTTTTTCTTCCATTATTTTTTCGTGTTACTCATTGCTCATGCCATTTTTCAGTATTATTCTTTGGACGTGTCGTATTTTAAGTCGTCTTTGGATGCCAAGTTACTCGATTCTTTGTGGAACACCTACTGGGTCAGCACATTATCTACTACACCTCTGGTTAATAGTCATTCTTACACAACGTCACAGATAACTGATCTGGCAAAGAAGTTAAAAAGTGTAAGTTAGTCTGCTGTTATTTCAAATAATGAACTCTCAGTAAAAAGTTTTAGAGGATCAACAATGGCTAATGTTACTTCTTGTAATTTTTATGTGCATATTATTTAAGGTTAGATCTAAATGGATTTTTTAGATTTTAATGGTTCTCTTTTCTCTCTCGTTCGATTTTCCGAAACTAATTTCAGATTATTGGCAATGGAAGGTTACAGTCAGAACGCGTAAGTGATGGCACGGCTGCAGAGACATTAAAGAAAGCTATCAAAGACTCTGATAAAGTAATTTTTTCAATTAATTATTGAAAGATTATTGCTTTTCTTTTGCAATTTTGAATTTCAGGTAACCTGTGAAGTTGGTCATGGTCTTATAACACTAATGATGAAGAAGATGCTGTTTAATAGGCCGTTGGAGGTCTCTGTAAATGCAATGGAATTATGAATGTTTTTTGTGGCAAGTTTCTGTAGGGTTTTCAAACGGGTAGAAAACTACATTGCTGCTTGTTCATCTGTATGATTTTGTTTTGTAATTTCTGAGTGTTCGTATATTCGTGTATCATTTTAAGGACAGCTGAGCACATATATTTTACGTTTTTTTTTCGCCACACTACTACAGCAAAGGGCGTTTTTTTGAATTTAGAACAGAAAAATTGTAATATTTTAATTTTGGAAAGTTTTTATGTCTGAAGATTAGACTAAAATTAACAGTTCCTAATGATTATCGTGTATACATGTTAACGTCCGTGGGAAGAAAAACATTTTTGTTTTGATTACTTCGCGACTTCTATCCTCCTTATTGATCTAATGTTTTAACTACCTTTTTGCTCATTAGATTGATTGGTATTTGTTTTATAACTTGGAATTCGTGTATCATTGACTGGTTATTTGAATAAAGCTTCTTCATATGGTGGTTTGTAAAGTCACTTGAAGATTATAAATATTGTTGAATAAATGTGAGGTATTATTGTAATCATTGATTTAAAGAGTCTCAAGTTACTCCCTCCATTTTCCTTGATATGGGTACAGATATGCTAGGTCTTTGGTACTGACGAGTGATTAAGCGTCCAGGTTATGCGACTTGCGGTTACGTCGGCCTGAGTACGTAGTTGTTCTATTTGATAGTAAGTTTACTTCCCAGGCATTTCCGGGACACTTGGGTTAAACGGTATTTAGCCTAAAAAAACTGATTGGGAGGACGGTGATTTGCGCAGATTGTTTCAGTGTGAAGTCTTTGCAAGTAGGAGTAAGGTTTGGACCTGGTTCGGAGTTGGACCGTGTGCGGTGATTTTTTTTGAACTTGGTAGGTTGTCGTTTTAAAGTCTTTTGGTCTTGAATTCTTTGCGTGTACTGATGGATTTTATCATTATATTTGGAATGTGCAAATTTTACTTGTTGGTTTTGGTGTATGCTCTATTTAAATTTGGACAAAACACCAGTGAAGAACTTCATTTCTTTCTTACAGGTCTGGAAATACAAAATAGAATTAAGGGGATTCTGTTGTTTCCTTTATAGGACGAATATATCCCTCATTTTTTTGTTATTCATTTGCCGCTAGCGTCTATATTTGTTCATAATGGATTTTAGCTACACATATGGAATTTATTTGTGTATCGTCAAAAGTCCTCGGTCGGCATTCGGGAAATTCAGTCCGTACTTTACAGTTTTTTTCAAAACGGTCTTTACTTAGTCTAACTGAGGATGAAAAGCATGGAAAAAAGTATATGAATCCTTTAAAGGAACCACCTGCGCCAGTCAAGCCGGTTAGTGCGTAGGCTCTCCTTTACTTTGTTAACCCAAAAGTTGTTTTTGATGTTTGGGTGTTAGTTTCTCAGTTGGATTACACTAATAAGCAGCTTCTTCCTGAATTACTAGATGTGATAACCATGACATCTTTTTGTACTACTTTATCGGGAAACCTTTAAAAGTTACATGTCATAACATCAATGGTGGTGAGTTTCAAACGGTAGTTGTTATCGTACACACTAAAGTATTCCGCTTTAAATTTATGGAAGTTTTTATACTTTTTTTTTTTATCAAGTTGTTTTGATTGATTTGTTTCAAGGTTTTTTCATATTTTTTGTATCAGATAACTTTTTGTGGCAATTTGTGATCAATTTTCCTTGCTCTGTCTACCTGTCCTTAAATTAGAAGTTTGATTGAAAAGATTTTTCAGCATAGTCTTCCTTCTTATCTAGTTGACATAATTTTAAGTTAAAAACGTGAGGGGCTTTCTATTGTTTTTTGAGGCTGCTTAAACTAAACGGTAGTGGGAGATTGTTTTTCTTTACGAATTTTTTTTTT